TAAGGTGGTTATGCTTGCATCAAGTGGGATTAGGTCTATGTATACAATAATTTCAAACCCTTTGGTATGCTTTTTGATGATGCTCAAATCGAATTTTATGCACCACTTGTCGGGTGATTAGTATGGTTAATAAAACACAGTAAATATAATGGAGAACTCAACACAATCAATACATAGAGATGGAGTGGTTTAGTCAGGGTGACTTACTCTACTTTGAAGGGCCTTGGTTGTTGGTCTATTTTATTGTTATAAGAGTGTGGAGAGCTCAGATGAGTTAGGTGTGAGATAAGATACAAGATGTCAGATGTAAGATGCTCCCCATGTGTAGGTGGGGCTTACAATTTATAGGCGTCTCCTAATAGGCTGAGGCGCCACATTCATAACAGATAGGCTAATTTGGTGGAGGTGATACCATTCTCACAATAAACAGGGTAGTTATGTGAAGATGACATAAAGATCTCTTTATCAGTTGCAGACGGGGTCTCAGGATGACATGTCTGACTCCTTGACTCTAGGATGACGTGACTTCTTCCTTGACTCTAGGAGGATGTGGTTGACTACTTGACTCTAGGATGACGTGACTCTAGGATAGCGTGGCTGACTTCTTGGCTCCAGGATGGCATGGCTGACTATGCTCCCTTGACTTTGTGGTGAGTCGAGTGGCGTCTTATCTGGGTTGGGCCCATTGGGCTTTGTCTGGGCTGGGACCATTACTTGAGATGGGTCTTGTTTGGGCCAGCCCCACTATCAAAGTTGGGCCTTGTCTAGGCCGGGCCTATCATTTACTCTCATGCCCTAAGCCCAATGGGATTTGAGGGAGAGGGCATTAGTAGGGATGCTTTGTTTGAGTTGACCGTGTCTCTCTGGTTGGCCTTGAATTCTTTAGTTAGCGGGCATTTTGTGGTTAAAGTTATTTTGATTTTCTCCTTTTTTTTTTAGTAGTAGATGACTGTAAATAGGGATCCCACTTCCTTGGGGTATGTGGTGCCAGAGGAGAGTGGTAGAGGGTCCCTGAGGCTTCAGGCTACTAATATACAGGCATAGGAGGCAAGGCGCTAGAAGGGGCACTAGGAGAAAATGCCAAAGGCAGGGCACTAAGAGCTGGGTGCTAGAAGTAGGGCATCAGAGGCGGGGCACCAGGAGTTGGGCACTAGGAGGAGGGGCCAGGAGTTGGGGCACCGGGTTGCAAGCGGCATGAGTTCTAAGGGTGTGCCTAGAGATGGCAAAAACAATATTACTCTAGCATCAAAATATCCAACATGATTACTTGATGAGAAAAGCAGACACATCGGACTGTAGAGAAATAATCGCTAAGTTGGAGGAAGGCTGTTTGCGTGAGAGTAGGGGCAGAGTTTGAGGGTTGGTCATGGGAGAGTTGTACCTCTTAAGATTGAACTTTTAGTGACCCGTGAGAGAGCCGATAAGATGGAGATAGGCTAAGTATGAGACTGTCCGCATGAGAGTAGAGGCAGAGTTTGAAGGTTACTTGTAAGAGAGCTACACCTCTTAAGACCGAGCTTTTGGTGATCCACAAGAGAGCCACTAAGCTGGAGATAGGCTGACTATGAGGCTACCCACACGAGAGTAGAGGCAGAGTTTGAGGGTTGCTTGTGAGAGAGCTACACCTTTTAAGACTGAGCTTTTGACAACTCGCGAAAGAGCCACTAAGCTGGAGGTAGGCTGACTGTGAGGCTATTCGTACGAGAACAGAGGCGGAGTTTAAGGGTTAGCCCATGGAAGGGCTACCAAAGTGGAGGCATACCCTAGTAGATGGAGAGGATGAGGGTACTGAAGATCTAGGCACCTGGGGTGCTGCTGGACGAGTTGGGCATACAATGTTGGCGGTGTGCCCATACGAGCAAGAAGATAGGCGCCAAGGCAACGACAACGAGGCACAGACACACGAGCACTATTGGCTGGGTGTTGGGTGCCGCAAGCATAGACGCTAAAAATCGTTGGGCCCCACAGACATGGGCCTCTAGACGCTAGGCGTTGGTGCTATATGCGTAGCTGGTGGTTTCAATTTTTTATACTCCCCTTTACATGAGGACTCAGCTTGTCTGGCTTTGATGACATCCTCATCGTTTATGTATTTTTGGGATTTTGATAGCAATTCTAGCATGTTCTTTGGTTGGTGCTTCAAAACTGAAAACATAAGACTAGATGAGCGTAACCTTTGTATGAAGGCCGCCATGACGACTTTATTATTTGGTTCTTTAATCTGGAGGACTTCCTCGTTAAAATGAGTGAGGTAACTCCTTAGGATTTCATCCCTAGTCCTACTTGATACAAAGCAGGTGGGTGGCAGGCTTCTTATGTCGGCGTCCCCTAATGAAGTGTAAGCCAAAAGACTTGCTTAGTTCAATGAAAGAGTCAATGGAAGATAGGGTAAGCTTGGTGAACCGTTGACGAGTAGATCCCTTGAGGGTGGTAGAGAAAGCCTTGCACATGATCTCATCTAGTATGTTGTACATTTGCATCAGGGATTTGTAGGTGTCAAGGTGGTCTAGTGGATCTTTGAAGCCATCAAAAGCTTTCATAGTTGGCATCTTGAACTTCTGAGGGAGAGGATAGTTGGCCACATTGACTACAAAAGGCATGTTAGTGCACCTTATGAGGTACTCAACCGTTTCAGGTCTTTGCACCTTCATAGCGTTGAAGATGTCACCAAGTTGATTCTACATTTCCTAATTTTCTTGTCCCATTGATTGGGGACTCCTTTGGAAATGTCATTGAAGTGGATCTCAAGGTCCAAACTTTGGGTTTCCCCATCGTCTTCTTGGAGATGAGGGTCACCAGCGTGGAAGGACGGAACTGGTGGAAGAGGAGGAGGGGCCATCCCTTGGCACTAAGGAGGGGCTCCCTAGTGCTGTAAAGAGGCGCCCCTAGCGGTGGGATACTAGCTGGGGGCATATTTGGCGCCCTGGCCAAGTTGCTTAAGGTGCTCCCTTGCTAGGTGCTCTTCTCTTGGTTGCCACCTCTTGTCCAACAAGCATTAGCTGGAAAATCTATTGGTTTTGGCTCACTAGTAGCTACATCATCTCTAGTAACATTTGTTGCGAGTTATGAACGAGATTGGCTGGCAGAGACAAGACCTCCTCCTCACGTAGTGGATCGTTCTCAAGTTGATTCATAGATCTAGTGGTGATTACCATAGATACAAAAGGATGGTGATTGGGTGGAAACTTAATCGATTCCCATAGACAATGTCAAACTAATGATGCACAAATTGAATTTATGCACCACCCATCGAGTGATTAGTATGGTTAATAAAATGTTGTAAATATGATGGAGAACTCAACCCAAGCAACACATAAAGATAGAGTCGTCTGGTAAGGGTGACATACTCCATTTTGAAGGACTTTGGTTATGGGGGTGTTTTATTGCTATAAGAGTGTGGAGAGCTCAGGTGTGAGATAAGATACAAGATACTAGATGTACGATGCCCCCCATTTATAGGTGGAACTTACAATTTATAGGCGCCTCCTAACAGGTTGAGGTGCTACATCCGTAACAGATATGCTAATTTGGTGGAGGTGGCATCATTCTCGCAATGGATGGGGGTAGTTGCGTGGAGGTGACACCATTCTTGCAATGGACGACATGGCATGCAGATCTGTTTATCAGTTATATACTGGGTCTCAGGATGACGTGACTGACTCCTTGACTCTAGGATAATGTGACTCCCTCCTTGACTTTAGGATGGCGTGGCTTTAGGATGACGTGGCTGACTCCTTGACTCTAGGATGATGTGACTTCTTGACTCTAGAATAGTGTGACTCCAAGATAGCGTGGCTGACTCCTTGGCTCTAGGATGACATAGCTAACTATGCTCCCTTGACTTAGTGATGAGCCAAGTTAGGTCTCATCTGGGTCTGGCCCATTGGGCTTTTTCTAGCTTGGGCCCATTACTTGAACTAGGCCTTGTTCAGACCAACCCCACTATCCGTGTTGGGCCTTGTCTGGGCTAGGGCCATTATTTGAGCTGGGCCTCATCTGGGGGCCCATCAATTTCAATTCAAGTTTCCCAATGAACTGTAGCTTTATTTGATTGTTGGTGTTGTTTTTTCTCTTTTCTCATTTCAAAAGATGAAAGCCCCTTATGATATTGATTAGCTTAGCATGTCTTATCTTGTGACATAGGAAGCCATCCATTTCATGAATTGCAAGTATTAAGCTTGTATCTATTGGAGACAATCACTTAGCTCTATTTTTTGTGCACTTCAAGGCATCTTCAATTACCTCGTTGAAGTTAATACAAATCAAAAATTAATAAATTGTCACTTCTCAAAGTCACCACTAAAAAACATATCAAGACCTTGATGAGTTCGCAACTAATTCGGACAATGATTGTGGTGTAAGTTAAGGCACCATTTTCATACCTGAAGGGGGGAAGAACAAACATGGCATTCACAATAAAAATAAAACACAATCCATTAATTTCATATTCTTTGATTGCATAAGAAAACCTTTAAAGTGAGAATTTTCATGACCCCACAAAACTACACTCCATAATGGAAACAAATTATTCAAGTTTTTGATACTATGTAAATATTGCCAACCATAGTCTGAAATTGAATTGTCTTCAAAATCGCTTGGTCAAGTCAAAATTATACAAGTTTTGAAATAAAGATAGTATAGTTTCCTTTTCAAGTTTGGAAAGAGTTAAATGTATGATTAGGTTCTTTGTCTATACATTCATATGATTCCCTTTTTATGCAAGCATTGCTCCGATGTTTCAATGTTTATTTTAAAATCTAATCCACCTACAAGTTTTGGTTGCACACAACTAAGAAAAAGGTCCAACAATAGATACATTATGATATGAACCACAATATGATTCAATTGCCTTTTGTTTAGTGGACATAATAGTTCACCTGGAAAGCACGCGCGTCTATCAACTATTTTGAACAGCCCAGACACCTATTTATAGATTCTGAGACGTTTTTTACACATAATTATCTCGTTGGGCATTTGGGTTTGAGAGAGAGAAACCGAGAATGAACCCAGCAAGCTTGAAAAATTCCACTGTAATTCCCACGTGCACTTCGAGACGCCCATCCAAACGCCTACTATTTGATCGGCGCTACGGCTGGGTGTAATCTCTCTCTCTCTCTGTGTAAGGTTTTCTTTTCATCACATATTGCTATAAAAACCGGAATATATAAATTACACCTCATATTTTTTGAAGGTTTGATGAATGGAAAGAGCCATCAGAAGAGGCTCTAGCCGGCGGCCGTGGAATGTAATTTATTTTCCTATTTCTATTTCTATTTATTTATTTGTTTTTCTTGATATATTCTTTGTTGGGTTGCTGACCAAAGTGGGTATCTATTTGAAGTTAGTAATGGGTAGCAAAAGAAAAAAAAAGAATGAAAAAATACAAATGCGTCGTGCCCAATTCTGTCAGATCTCCCTACTTTTCTTATCTACCTCACAGAACATAGTAGAATAACGTTTTCTACGAATTAATTTTTTTGTAATTATCTTTTTCTGTGTTGAAGGTTTTGCATTGTTCCCCTGGCAAAAGCTTTGTCAAAGACGGCTTCAAAACTGGTACGATTATAATCATCCAATGCCATCACATCTATTGCTTATTTCCTTCTGCTCTTAGTGTTTGTAAAGTGAAAGGAAGAAAAAATCAACTTTCAAAGGTAAAGAAGCTGTTTAAATTTATGTTGGCTGCTGTTGTTCATTCTCTTTTACTATACTTGGGGGCACTTATCAGTAAAAAGTTGACTCTTTTACTAATGTGACATTTAACCTTCCAAAGACTGCATATAAAGTTCCAATGATGTAATATCTGATCCATGGGGCATAGCTACAGCCTGTGTTTGTTCAAATGTGGAAATTACTAAGTATTAAGTTGGAATAAACTTAAGTGGGACACACTAAGAAGGGCACTTCTCTTTGGATAAAAAGACTTCTTAATTGTCACGGGTTAGGAAGCATGGATACTCGATGGGGGGTTGCCGTGGCAGTGTCGGACACGTGTCCGACACTTGTAGAAGTGTCCTCAACAGTGGCTTTTATTTTTTTTGGTCAGATACGACTCGGATACGTGTGGGACACGGCAGGATATTTTTTTGTTTAAAAACTTAGGGGTCGAAACGAAAAAAAAAAAAAAAAAGAGTTTCATACATCGTTTGGCTTAAAAAGAAAAAACAAAAGGAAAAAACCGAAAAAGGCATTGTTGAACACCATTTCGACATTCTGTGTATTCGAGAGAGAGAGAGAGAGAGAGAAAAAGAGAAGAGAAGAGGAGAACGATCGAGAGGACCATAGGAGGAGAAGGAGAGGGAAGAGGAAGGGAGACTAACCAGCGACTGGGACTGGCGACTGACCTGCGATTGGCGACTGCGATTGCAGGTTCTTCTTCTTGCCTCAATTTTTTTTTTTTCAGATTTGCTATTGTTGCTCTTACCTATTCTGGTCTATGTGGAGTCTGAACTGTCAAAAAATTTGATTAGGTTAATTTGATTGGGTTAGGATTTTTAAAATTTGGGGATTTTAGGGTTTTCAATCTTCTTGTTGTATTGATGCCTTTAGGGTTTTTTTTTTTTTGGGTCTGGTGTTGTGTTGCTTACTGCCTTCGAGATTTTTTTTGGTCTTGTCATCTTTGTTGTTGCCTTTTGTGCTATGCTAGTGTGCTCTGCCTACCGCTTTTAAATACTGAAAATTACTTTCTGTGTTGCATGCTGGTTTTTTTTTTTGGTCTTGGTCATCTGTGCTGTTGCTTGCTGCCTTCTGAAAATTGTTGTGCTATTGCCAGTTATTTAGGATTTAGGAAATGAGTTCTCTCTAGTGGCAGTGGGGATGACAGTGATGATCACACCCCTTTATGGAAATATTGCACAAAAATTGAAAAAATTGGTGTAGGGGAGGAAATGTTCAGTTTCAATGCAATTTGTGCCAACTCAGTTTTAAAAGATCATATTATAGGGTTAAGGCACATTTGTTAAAAATCAGCGGTTATGGAGTTCAAGTATGCCGGAAAGTGACTCCACAATTATTAATTGAAATGCAAAGGTTAGTTGATGAAGTTGAGGTGAGAGGGAAAATAAGTTTGCCCAAACAAGTCGCTTTACCACCATCTTCGGCTTCCTTAAGTGCAAGTGTTAGTAGTGCTATGAGAATGAGATTGATTCATTAATGTAGGGGGCGGGTTTAAATCTTAAAAAAAGGAAGGCTACTTTTGCTCTTGAGAAATCTTTTAATGTTGGAGCTTGAGAAGAGTTACATAGTGAGATTGTAATGATGTTTTACTCGGCTGGTTTACCATTCCACCTTGCAAGGAATCCACATGATTGTCGCTCCTATACATTTGTAGCTACTCATATGATTAGTTGCTATATTCCTCTTGGTTATAATATGTTGAGGACTTCATTTCTTGAAAAAGAGAGCAAACATTGAGAGGTTATTAGAGCTAACGAAGCAATCGTGGAAAGAAAAAGGTGTAAGTATTGTTTCTGATGGTTGGACGGATGCTCAAAGGAGGCCAATCATAAATTTCATGGCAGTGTGTGAAAATGGGCCTATGTTCTTGAGAAGAGTTAATTGTGTAGGTGAATATAAGGATAAATATTTCATATCTAACTTGCTTTCGGAGATCATTCATGCAGTTGGACCTCAAAATGTGGTCCAAGTGATCACTGATAATGCACCTGTTTGTAGGAGTGTGGGAATGCTTGTTTAGGCTCATCATAAACACATCTTTTGGACCCCTTGTGAAATGCACATGCTTAATCTTGTTTTGAAAAATATTTGTGCGCCAAAAAACACCGAAGCCAATAGACGTGTTTTTGAAGAGTGTAATTGGATCTCAATTATTGTTGAGGATTGTGTGGGCATTAAAAATTTTATTATGAATCACAACATGAGATTGGACATGTTTAATGATCATGTGAATTTGAAGATGCTCTCAATTGCGGAGACACGTTTTGCTTCAACCATTGTGATGCTTAAAAGATTTAAAGTTCTAAAACATGGTCTGCAAAACATGGTTATTAGTATAGAGAAGATGATGTTGAAAAAGTGGCCTTTGTGAAGGAGAAAACATTAAATGATTTGTGGTGGGACAAAATTGATTATATGCTTTCCTTTACTAAACCCATTTATGAGATGCTAAGGAAGGCTGATACAGATATGCCTTGCCTACACTTAGTTTATGATATGTGGGATTCTATGATTGAGCAAGTGAAGGTTATTATCTTTCGTCATGAAGGGAAGTGGAAAGATGAGGAATCAATCTTTTATTCGGTGGTTTATGAAATATTAATGGATAGATGGGGCAAGAGCAACACACCGCTCCATTGCTTGGCACATTCCTTAAATCCGAGGTAATTTTTAAGCTCTAAACTTTAAAATTTTAATTTAATTTTCTAGATATCAAATGATTATCATTTTATTTACTTTTTAGGTATTATAGCGTGGAATGACTTTCTATGGCTCCTAATCGTGTTCCTTCACACAAAGATGAAGAGATTTCAAATGAAAGAGAAAAGTATTTTCAAAAATATTTTTCTAATTTGGAGGAGCGAAGAAATGTCAAAGAGGAATATGCCAAGTTTTTAGCGTGCTTTAAATAATTTGGAAGTCATGATTCCATGAGTGATAGAGCACACATGGAGCCGGCTTTTTGGTGGGTTATCAATGGCTCTACGGCACCCTTGCTCCAAAACTTGGATTTGAAGTTACTGGGGCAGCCTTGTTCCTCCTCATGTTGTGAGAGGAATTGGAGCACTTATTCTTTTATACACTCTTTATGGAGGAACAAAATCAAACCAGATAGAGCCGAAGACTTAGTATTTTTACACTGTAATCTCCACCTTCTATCAAGGAAATCTCCTCAATACAGTGAAGGCAACACTAAGATGTGGGATGTTGCAGGAGATGTATTTTCATGAATGAGGAGGGTAGTGGGATGCATGAGTTTGCAAATCTTTCCCTTGATGAACAAGATTTGGAAGCCATACTATTTACTGATGAAGGAATTGACAATAAGGATGTTGAGCGCATTGAAGTGAATTGGGGGAGGATGTAGGATTCCTTTTGTTTTTGTGTTCTTTTGTTAGCAAACTTGTGGACTATGGATGTATTTTTTTGAATCTTTGATCCATTTCAATTTAAGTAATGTTTGCTATGTCTTGGTTGTTTGTTATTATTAATGTTGTTGTTATATATATAAAAATCTATATAATTATTTTAATTAGTCGTATCCTCGCTGTACCCGTATCCTATATTTTGCGATTTTGCCGTTTCGCCGTGTCCGTATCGTATTGGATACGACACCTATATTCGTATCCGTGCTTCGTGACTCACGGGGTTATCAACCTTTGTTTTATGTTTCTAAAGCCTATCATATTTATTCAACCAATTGAGAGATATGACAGAAGCATGGTTAAAGATATAGCTATTTGGGCTGAATGCCTATACAATAAATATTAATTCAATTAGATTGTTGCTACATATCTAAGTGAATAAGTAGGGTGTTCTATTCTAACACGGGGAGGGATGGGCAAAGGCCATGACATTCCCTACTAATTCATGAAAAATCTACTTCTATGTGTAAAACCTTTTATAGTCTCTTCTAAATTCATATATTTTCAAGTTTGGCTACTTATCAGTTGTATATTCAAGTTATTTGACGGACGTGCACAGTCGGTATTCAATGATAAGTTCAGATTTTGAGTTAGTAATTAAATATGCATTTTCTGAAAATCTTATGATTGTAGACTCTTTTCTTTCTTTATTCATGAGTGAATAACATGAAACTAGACCTAAAAAGCATGGACACGGATACGGGACACCGATATGACACGACACGGACATGCAGACACCACATTTCTTAAAAAAGTAGGACACAGACAAGTTGAGGATACATTATAAAAAATTATATTTTATATATAACATTATTATGATTTATCGCAAATATAGTGATAATGATAAACATTTCATAAAAGATTCAATATTTATGATAAGTAAATCTTTTGTGTAATCATTTGTGTAAATTTTTAAGTTAAAGCATCATTATACTAGTCAATAATTATTAATTTTTTTTTGTAGACAATGGGTACCTAATATATAATTTAAATAATTGCTCTAATTTTCTCAATTCCTCTTTTTTAAAAATTTATGGTTTTATTTTTATTATTAGATTTAGACTACAATTTTAACATATCTAGTATTATTAATTTTATGTTCTCAAAATTTTAAACTTTATTAATCATATTTCAACACATGTTTATTGTTTAATAGTAGAAACGTTCTAAAGAAGTATCAGGCACGTCACCAAAGAAGTGTTGGACACGTGTCCGAAATTAAAAAAAAAATATTAATTATAAATACGGATAAAAGAGTATTGAACACGTGTCAGAGAGTGTCTAAAGAGTGTCGGTGTCCGACACGAATACATCACCTTCTCGAGAGTGTCCGTGTTTCACATAGAACTAGACAGTATGGTTGGAGACTTCTATCAACTATATATAGAAAATATCCTTTTGATAAATGAGATCACAATACTGATTATGGAAAAGATGACTCATCTAGCAAGGTTAGGAGTATTCATG